ACATACATACATACATACATACATACATACATACATACATACATACATACATACATACATACATACATGCTTGCATGCATGCACGCACAAACGCACACACACACACTCTCTCATACATGTATTCGCATAAACACGCATACATGCATACGTGCACACACACACACACACACTCATTGCATGCACTCATTTACTCACACACACACACACACATACATACATACACACATACGCACATACATACATAAATACATACATACATACATGCTTGCATGCATGTACGCACAAACGTGCACACACACACACTCTCTCATACATGTATTCGCATAAACACGCATACATGCATACGCACACACACACACACTCATTGCATGCACTCATTTACTCACAGACACACACACACACACACACACACACACACACACGCATGCATGCACTCATAGACACTTACACACACACACTCAAACATGCACTCACACACGCACAGTTGCATGCACAAACACGCACGCATACCTGCACTCTCTCACATGCACACACACATATGCATACATGCACATGCATGCACTCTCTCTCACACGCATATACACACATGCACTCACCCATACATGCTCTCACTCATGCACACGCTCAAACATGCACTCACACACACGCAAAAACACACACTGTCAAATATGCACTTGCATGCATGCACACACACGGACATACATGCACGCACATATGCACACACACAGACTCTCTTATACATGCACTCACTTAAACACACATGCATTTACAGGCGCTCACACACACACTCATGCGCACACAAACACACTCTCAAATATGCACTTACACACGCATACATGCATGCACTCATTCTAACACACACTCACTTACACAAACGCATACATGCATACATGCACTCATACAAGCTTACATGCACACACTCAAACATGCAGTCACACACGCACAGTTGCATGCACAAACACCTGCACTTTCTGACACATACATGCATACATGCACTCACACACCCGTACACAAAAAACACTCACACGCACATACACACACACACACACAAACACACTATCACAACAGCACTCACACTCATACACACTCTCTGATGACACGTACTAAGGGAGAATGTCAATCAAAGTGTGATCAGAACATACACAGTCGACTCTGGAGATGTTCACACACTGAAGTTGAGCTGAGCACAGAAGAAGATATTTTGAAGAATGCTGGAAACATTGACTTCCATAGTTTTTGTTTTTCATACAGGTCTTCAGCATTCTTCAAAACATCTCCTTTAGTGTTCAACCGAAGACAGAACCTCCTCAAGGTTTATAAGCACTTGAGGGAGAGTAAATAGTGAGTCTGTTTTTATTTTGGGGTGAACTGTCCCTTCAATCCTCATTGTGCAGCATGTGTGTGTGTGTTTATTTGTGAATGTAAGTGTGTGTTTGTTCTGCGTGTCAGTGTGAGTGTATTGTCTCATGCTCCTGTTGAATGTCTGCAAGTTTCTGAACTCAACTACTGACCTCAGAACAGCTGATAAACTCTCAGTCTCTGGCGCCACCTGAAGGCCAACAGTAAACCTGCATGAAGATCAGCAACAGACAGGACACACATTGAGACGGTGCTCACTGCAGAGCCATTTGAGCAGAGCTGAGCTCCAGCGAGGGGGAGCATGAGCTCTCGCTCTTCCTCCTATAAGCTGTTTTAATGCGTACACCAACCCCACCCTTAACCCTACCCCCAGTGACATCACTCGTAGAAGAAGTGCAAGAAAGGAGGAGCGAGAGCTCATGCTCCCCCTCGCTGGAGCTCAGCTCTGCACAAATGGCTCTGCAGTGAGCACCACTTGCACACATTCACATACCCACACACACACATTATGCACACCCAACCACAAGTACTACAAACACCCACATGTGCTCACACAC